CGGAGTGCCTGCCCCCCCCCATGGAATGCCTCGCCAAGCTGCCCCCCGCCACCCCAAGATTGGCCACCCCTTACCAGGTGCCGCCCCAAGCATGTGCTTGGTTGCCTGGAGCCGGCCCTGGCTAGATCAAATGAAGTTTTTCTGAAGAAAAACCATGAGGTTTTTTGGGGGATAAAAACCACTTAGTGAAAACAGACCTCCTCATGAAAAAACAAGCCACAAATTAAGATGAACAAGTGAAAACTGTATGAGATGACATTCAAGAAAATAACTTATTTAAAAGACAGGAGACTTGGAAGCTTCACTTAGAGGAATGCCTGAAAGAAAACAGTGTCAATGAACATAACACACTAGAGGGTTGGGGTTTTGTTGTTTTTTTTTAAAAGGGCTCTTTCAACATCAAGTTGAGAATAGGACCTCACTGACACAGATATGCATGCATGTGAAGGAATGCTGGCAGGACGATTAGCTCACTAAAGACGGAACTCGCACACCTTTGAGCTCAGATAACTCTTGCATCTCTCTTGTAATGCTCAGAAAAAGATAGGAAGGAATTTAGGATATAACTGCAGCATCACTTCATCCCTATAAAACATGATATAAGATGATCAGATATAAGTAGCTCACTCTGTGAGCTGAAGTTAGTCAGCAAGGAAATTACCTTCCACATAAGAAACTGATGCTCACAGACACTGAGTGACTCAAAAGGAGCTTTATCAAGACCATGAATATCACAACACCGGGAGAGTCACTCGTGCTTGACAAAAGCCAATGGAGATCTTACCATATCTTCTTTGCACGTCTGAAAAATCAAAATTGCTGTTAGAAGAATTAGGATATTTGTCAATAAGCTAGACTTGGAAAAATGAAGATTGTGGCTGCAAAGGAAGCATTTAGGGGCTGTTTACATCACACTGCAAGCCTTTTACATTCACAAAACTGGAAGTCCTTCTGGCAGATTCCTTTAAGGCTAAGATAATTTCCAAGGTGTTAAAATAGTGTCATTCATAAAAACATTAACACAAAGTTAAAAGAAGTTAGAATGGGCTACGCTCTTACCAGCAGAGAAAGGCAGCTCAAAATGTAGAGATTTGGCTTTTTAGGTTGACAGCAACAGAGAGTTCCACAGCTGAGTCCGCAGAACTCCAACCGAAACTCACCAACTTCCCACTGGACTATAGCTAGTTCCCCACGGGCCACTTCCTACTTATCTTTTGAAGCTGTAGTTGAAGCACTGTCAGGGTCTCTGGGCTTCTTGGCACATATGATTCCCGGTGACTCTGATCCCTCTCTGGCATCCAGTCACACTTGGGCATCAGTCTGAGTCTCTGCAGCTCCGGCTTCCACGGTCAGGGGTTCCAGCTGCTCTGGGGCTGGAGCCAGCAACGTCCTTCCTCCTCAAAGGTCAGCCCAGAGTGAGCTGGGCTGCCCCTTTTATACTAGTGCTGCACCTGGAGTATGCCCAGCGGGGATGTGGATGTGTGTCTTCCTCAGCCCACAGTGAGGAGTTAATCCTTCCCCATCCAGTGCATAGTGAGTTCACACTGTAACACTCTCCCCTTTAAGAACCTGGGAGCTCTTCCTCTCCCCCTACCGCGCCTATCTTAAAAATAAATAAATAAATCGGCGTTGGCATGAACCTTCCCGAGGCGATGTAGTACCTGAAAGTCATATGGCTGTAGGGCAAGATAGCACCATATGATCTGCAGGTTGGTGTCCTTCATGCTATTTAACCAGCCTAGGGACACGTGGGCAGTGACCAATCGGAATGTATTTCCTAACAGATAATATTACAGAATGTCTATGGCCCACTTAACAGCCAAAGCCTCCTTCTCAAAAGTTGAATAGTGGACTTGCAACTTAAGTACAGCACAAGGTGTTCTTCCCTGGCAACTTCCTGCAACAATACAGCCCCAAGGCCCACTTCTGAAGCATCCGTCTGTAAAATGAAGGATTTCCGGAAATCTGGATGCATCAAGACTGGTCCCAAAGGGCTGTCTCACACTCAGTGGACCACTGGACACTCTGGGGTTGTGAGTTTATAGTTAAGTCCATCGGGGGCTGCCAAGGCCACGAAGTCTAGGACAAAACAACGATAATACCTGATTAGGGCAAGGAATTGCCGCACCTGCTTCGTTGTAAGTGTGGGCCAATCTCGCAGGGTCTGTACCTTGTTGACCAGGGGGCTGCAGTTGTCTCCCGCCCAGGGTCTATCCCAAGTACATCACCTTGCTCCGTCCAAGGTTGCACTTTTAGGAGTTTGCTGTGAGTCCAGCGTTCTTAAGAGCTTGGAGCACACTGGATAAGTGATGGAGATAGTCTTCCCAACAGATATTGTACATGACAATGTCGTCGATGTAGGCAGCAGTGTACTACACATGGGGTCGTAACAGCCGGTCCACGAGCAGCTGGAAGGTGGCCGCAGCTCTAGGCAGTCCAAACGGCATTGTTATAAATTGGTACAAGCCAAAGTGTGTCAGAAAGGCCGTCTTAGAGTAAGAGTTCGGCATCAGGGGGATTTGCCAATATTCCTTTGTTAGATCCAAAATTGACTGGAACTGCTGTGAATGCTGTTACTGTGAGATAGGAAGAAGGTGACCCCATAAAAATTGTGCCAATGCTATGTATTGGAGTGATAATGGAAAATTCCTAGTGTGTGTAAAAATCAATGGTAAAAGCCTGTTTAGGGAAAATTATAGCTTCTAACATCACTTTAGTTAAAGCAGATCTTGTCAAAGAGGAAGTTTACTTACCAGATGAAAATGTGAATATTATAATCCTCTATGAGTTTACTGTAAATATTCTTTAGCCAGAATCCACCTTGAATGAAATGGTACTAAACAAAGTTATAGCTGATGTATGGAAGTTACTGCCTATGGATCAAATGATTAATATCATCCCCAAAGCTTTGTTCAGTCAAGTTAATATCATGAACCAGTCAGAGGAAAGGAAAGATCCTGAGCCTGTCTGTATTAGGGGCAATGACTTGCCTATGGAGGGTTTCTCCAAATGTTTGTCTGAGGAAGATAGCTCTTTGCCTGTGCAGAAAAGCAGTTTATATGTGAATGAAGTTTCTGAACATCTGTCTGAGTGAATCTGGAATTAAATGAAGCACAGAGATAAGTCACTGATCAAGAAAATGTTTCTCTAAAGCAGATTAAAGTTGATGGTCAGGGTAAAGCCCTACCTGAGGGAGAAAAGGGTAGATTCTTGATGGGTGATGTATTGTTGGCAAGTAAAGCTTGTGAAAGTAAGCCTGAACAAGGTAAAAGTGATTTGCTTAAGGCAGCTCAATAGGATGAGCCATTATCTGTGGAGAATAGCCGTTTATCTGTTGGGAGTGGCAACCTGCCTGTTAAGGAAGCTGTCCCACTTTCCAAGTATATGTCTGAAATCAGCCATGGGTGCTGGGACAAAGGAAAGGATATCTCCAATTGTTTGTCTGTTAAGAACAGCAGTGTGTCTGCTGCAAAAGTATCTCTCTCTAGCTATTTGTGAAACAGACAGAAGAAGCTTGTCAACCTATGATGGTTGAAAATTTATCAGTTGTATCAGAATTGATTCTGGGTTTAAGCAAAACCCAGAAAGAGTGTTATTGCTCAGGAAAATATTCCTTTGGAGCAAGTCCTAGCTGAAGAGGGTAAGAGCAGAATTTCTGTGAAAGATGGATTGTTGCTTAAAGAAGCTCCTAAGGAAAAGAATCCTCATGGTACTTTTTGCAACAGTTTGCTGTAACTGAAGGGTGTGGAAGTGAATTACTGTATATACTCGCTCATAAGCTTAATATATTGGTAAAAAGTGACGCATCAAAGAGTGGGGGTCTGCTTATAAACGGGTCTACACCAAAATTAGATTATTTTAAACTCTGTGGAATCATTGAATTGAATATCTGTCGTTTTGTTTACCTGGAGCGTCTACAGGCACGGAGCCCCTCAGCAACATGCCTGCAGACGCCCCAAGTAAACAAAACGTCCCGCCAGTGGCTTACGCTGACAGACCAGGAGCCAAAGTTTGCCGACCCATTTATTGATGTCAATACTACAGCCTTTTAAAGTTGCAACGGCTTTGTTTAGTGTACTAGATTGGCTAGAAATGGACCTCATAAGTCTCAAGCCAATATGAAAATATAACGTGCAGAATCAATGGAATCTCTAATAAAAGTGAAATAGCCTGTTATCCCTACAGACATGCCAATCTACA